ATTACATATTTTACTCATCTATGCATTTCAATCCATGAAATAATACTTCATGGAATTGTCAGCTTTAGGCAAGAGAACAGAACATTCTTAACGAAAAAAAAAAAAAGAAGCCAATCTAATCAAACCCGATGGTGCTTCAGTAACAAGCGTTTTTTTTTTCTTCTAAACAATATATTTATTTCTTATCCTTAAAATGGGATTACGTCGACGTGGACTTTTAAAATATTTATTTATAATTCCAACATTATGGTTTATTGTGATTATATTATTTTCACTTCGTACAGATTCTATATCTCAATCAAAAAATGATATGCAAATAAATGTTGTTGATAAAACAGCATCACCATCACTTGTTGATCGTATAATTGGTGCTCTACCATTTAAATATAATGTTGATCAAGATCATCCACCTGAAGAACGTGCTAAAGCAATTGAACAAGCACATCAAATGAATGCTCAAGTACAAGTTGTTGCACCTGAAATGAAAAATGAACATAATAATCCTAAACTTGGTGGACCCGGTGAAATGGGTAATGCAGTTCGTATTGATAAAGATAAATTATCCAAAGAAGAAAAACAAAAATATGATGATGGATGGAAAAATAATGCTTTTAATCAATATGTTAGTGATATGATTTCATTACGAAGAAATTTAGCTGATATTCGAGATCCAGAGTAAATTGAATATATTTGTTTTTTTTTTTATCTTCTTTTTCTTATTTTAATAATAATTATAGATGTAAAAAAGTTGAATTTCATCCAAATTTACCCGATACATCAGTTATTATTATTTTTCATAATGAAGCACGTTCAACATTATTACGTACAGTTTATTCTGTTCTTGATCGTTCACCAGCTCATTTATTAAAAGAAATAATACTTGTTGATGATTTTTCTGATAAAGGTCTGTTATCGGTATGTTAAAAATAAATAATAGTATTGAAATATCTAATTTATTGTTTTTTGTTTTCTTTTTTTTTCGATTTATTAAAAATTAGAACATTTAAAAAAAATGCTTGAAGATGATATTCAACCATTAACAAAAGTTCGATTAATTCGTGCTGATAAACGTGAAGGTCTTATACGTGCTCGATTAAAAGGTGCTAATGATGCAAAAGGAAAAGTACTCATCTTTTTGGATTCACATTGTGAATGTGCTGAAGGTAAATAAAATAAATAATTTTTGTGTGTAAAATTATTCATACGGATGATATTCTTACTAAAAAATAAAATTCAAGGAAAGATTTAAAAGTTAATATTCGATTAGACTCAGTAGAAATATAGTCGCTGTCAAGTATCGATTATGGATTCAATAAATTTGATTTAGTTATGATCTAGAGATGAAGTAATTCAGACTTTATTCGTATTACACATATTAAAAGATTTTTTTTTTTAATAATCTTGTTTTTAATTTATCTTATCGATGATTAGTACTTTTGTTTCTTAGGTCATATCTCTCTTGAGTTGTGTATTGAATGATATGATTTATAAGATAATTCGTTTAAAGATATAAAATATTTATCCTATAATCTTTAACTCTGATTACGGTAGTTTTTGTTTTTTGTTGTTGTACACATTTCTAAATCAAATTCAGACTAATGCCAAATTTAAAAGAAAGGTGGATGGATATTTTTTTCGAATAATTTTCGATAGAAAATTGTAATTTTTATTGTTGTTCAGAGGAGATGTGAACATATCAAATTGGATATTATAGATTTATTCTAAGATGCTTTCTAAAATTTTCTATAAGAAATGTTGTCTTCTTATGGAGTATGTTGGTTTTAAAGAATATTATTCAAAATATATTCATCCACATTTCTTTTTGAACTAGAGATTAATGAATAGAATTTATAAATTTTAAGATTTAACAGTTTCTTTTTTTTAGTATTGATTTTAAAGTTTAAATAATTTTGTTTTGTTTTTGTCTTCAAGGATGGCTTGAACCTCTTTTGGATCCTATTGCACGAAATAATAAAGTAGCTGTTGTTCCATTGATTGAAATTATTGATGATTCTACATTTCAATTAACTGGTACACCAATACAAAATATACAAGTTGGTGGTTTTGATTGGAATCTTATTTTTAATTGGCATGTTACACCAGAAAAAGAAATGAAAAGAAGACAGAAAAAAACAGATCCAATTAGGTAAATTTCAAAAAAAAAAAAACAAAAATCAAAAAATATGATTTTTATGTATTTCTAGAAGTCCAACAATGGCTGGTGGTTTATTTTCTATTGATCGTGATTGGTTTGAACAACTTGGAATGTATGATCCAGGCATGGATATATGGGGAGGTGAAAATCTTGAACTTTCTTTTAAAGTAAAAAAAAAAGGAAACAAATCAGATTGATCAAATATTTATTATAATTATATATAGGTTTGGCAATGTGGTGGTGAACTTTTATGTGCTCCATGTTCACATGTAGGTCATGTTTTTCGAAAACGTTCACCCTATGAATGGCCTAAAAATGTTAATGTTGTTAAAAAAAATACAGTTCGTCTTGCTGAAGTTTGGCTTGATGATTACAAAGTAAAAGAAAACATCTAAATCTAATCAAATATTTTCATCTTTTTTTTTTTTGTAGAAATATTATTATGAAAGAATTGGTAATGATCTTGTAAGTATCTCTTATTTCTATTTGGCAAGTAGACAAATATTTTCTTTCGAGTTAGTACAGAATAATCATTTTTTAGAAATGTACCATATGTCATCTATTCAATCTAAGTATTTGATTTCTGTATTAAAGCCCACACAAATCTTGAATAAAATAGAAGAAAAACATATTAGTAACGTGATACTTCAGACAATGTCATTGATATAAGAACAAATGTTTTTTAGTTGTTTTCAATATTAATAATATGATTTTCGATTGACACGTAGAAATATCAAACGGCTTAGTGTTGTACGTGATGATTAATACATCAACTTTTTTTTTAACCTATGCATCTGATAGATAAAATATTATTAGTAAGTAAAAAAACTAAAATCAATCTATGAACTAAACATATGAGAATGTTTTCTTTTTTGTTTCTAAACAAGAGATTGTAATGTTAATGAATTGTTAGATGGTTTATTTTAGATTTATTTGCATTTCATTAGTCTGTTTACATAGTGATTTGTCATCTTCATAGTATTATCTTTTCGCTTTACTTTTCATACATATCAAATATCTATGTATGAAAAGATCATGAAGAATTTCATATTTAGATTAACTCGATCAAAATTGTTAATTAATACATGTTGTTTGTTTTGATTTGAAAAGAAATAATCTATGAGCGTGAAATATAATAAAAGACAATTTGTTCAGTGTTGTATTCAGATTTTCTCTTTCAAAAATGCGAACATCTGTTTTATAGAGTACAGACGTATAGTACGTCATACAATGATTATTAACTCAGTAAAGGCTAAACTAATTTTTGGAGGAGTGCCGTCCTCACTCTCAATAAAACACTGAACTAGTTAGAGCTAGAAGCATTTAGTTCAGGATTGTAAACAGTCGATCCATTTCGGTATAGATTTTTTCTAATATCAAACCATTTTTAGGAATGTCAATTATGGTTTCTGTTAGGAAAGGTTGTAAAGACTAAAACTATCCGGCTTTCTCAGCCACAATATGTCCGATAGGGATGAAATTCTTTTTACAGATACTAGATAGTGTTTGGGGTGCCTAATTGTCATCTTCTTTCATTCGAATAAAGGAATTAAAATACTTAGCATACCTTCAAAAACTAATACGTGCATTACTTTTCAAAAGAAAAAAATTTAGGCTCTTCAAACAGTATTCAATACCTATATAAAAAAAAAAACTTCAGCTTGATCCAACATACTATGTCGAAAAGACGGCAAGGTGATTCTGAATCTTCTTCATGTAAAAATTGGTTTCGAAGAAAACGAAAAACAATATCCTGTACATATCAAGACTATTTTTCTCCAGCAAAACTGTTCGTTTTTTTTTAATTGTAGCGCGAGTGTTGAGTTTAGTGAAAGTACAAACTAACAATGAAAAGCATTCATTTATATGACATTTGACAGAAAACATCTCGACACTATATTCGAACAAGTGTCCTAAAAAAACGAGCGAATATTCTTATGTGAAGACTTTCTCGTCATAGATTATATTGAAAGATTTGTTTAATTAATATACAAGTAGAGACATAAATGAATTTTTTGTTTAGGGTGATTTTGGTGATGTATCTGATCGTTTAAAAATTCGTGACCGTCTTCAATGTAAACCATTTAAATGGTTTCTTGATAATGTCTATCCTGAACAGTTTATACCAGGTGAAAGTTTATATTTTGGCGAGGTAGATTTTTTTATTGTTTTTAAAAAAAAAAGTCAACAAAATAAAATTTTTTCAAAGATTCGAAATCGTGGTAAATCGAGTATATGTATGGACTCTCAAGAAATTGAAGATGGTGATAAACCAATAATTGGTTATCCATGTCATGGTCAAGCTGGCAATCAATTTTTTCTTATGTCTAAATTATTTGAAATTCGTCGTGAAGAAAAATGTTTAGATTATCCTGGTGGACAATCAGAATTAGGAAAACCAGGAAAAGTTGTTTCATTTAGTTGTCATTCCATGCAAGGAAATCAAATGTGGACATATGAAGTAGATTTATAATTAAATAAAATCAAAATTTTATTTAAATATTTTTCTTTTTTTCAGAATGACATACTTCGACATGCATCAGGTTTTTGTATTGAATTATCATCAAAAAATGACAAAGATATATTTATGTCTAATTGTGATCCCACAAATAATTATCAAAAATGGTTTTGGAAAAAACGTATAAACAATTCAACACAAACATAAATGTTTGTTTGTTTTTTGTTTGATACTCAAACCATTCCTTTACTTTTTTTTTCGTTTTGTTTGGTGCTACTTCCTTTCTTTTTTTGTTTCTTTTATATTCCTTAAACCAATTTGACAATACTCATAAACATAAAATAAAAACTTTAAAAACTATAAAAACATTATATCTTTTAGATAAAGATGATGAATTCTGATGGTACAGGTGCAACAGGACAACCAGATGATCAACAAATGATCACTATCACTGATCGAGAAAATTTTATAGCACGATTGTAAATAATTAAATCGATATATTTATTATTTAAATATAAAAGCAAAAATACACTTTTTTTTATTATTTAGAGCAGCTGCATTTGGTGGTGATCGTGATGCAGCTATACGTTGTGACGATGTTGCTTATAATAGAAGTGGAGGAAAACTTGTAAATGAATCATTTTTTTTTTGTCTATTAAAAATTAATTCATATATTTTAGGCACTTTATCGACGAATAATACACGCATTCTTCCTACAAAGACAGCAACAAATGCAACAGCAACAAAAGCCACAACAACAACAACAACAACAACAGCAACAATCAATGATGAGTTCACAAGGTCAACAACAAATGTACATGCAATCTCAACAAACACAAATGAATATAATGCCTCAACAACAACAACAACAACAACAGCAACTACCACCTCAACCTTCATATACAATGTCGGCACCACAACCAACATCATCAATTGTTCAACCAACATCAATGATGAATATCAAACAAGAACCACAAATTCCGTTATCTAATATGCAATCAAGGCCACCTACACAAAATTTTTCAATACAACAGCAACAAATCAAACAAGAATTAATGCCACTACCAATGCAACAACAACAACAACAACAACAACAAACACAACAATCTGGACTTCAAATTCAACAAATGCGAGCACAACAACAACAACAACAACAACAGCAACAGCAGCAGCAGCAGCAATTGCTGCCTCCACCACCACCCCAATATATACAACAACAGCAACAACAACAACAGCAACAGCCAACATCAGTTTTACCTCCTCAATCTACACCAAGTGTACCTCAACAACGTACTCTAGCACAGGTTAACTAATAAATATTTTAGAAGAAAATATAACTAAATTTCATTGTATAGCATCTTCAACAAGTACGTCAACAAAATCATCTCAATCAACAACAAGCACAACAAGACTCATCTAGTTCTTCTCAATTACCACAACAACAACCAACTAATTCTACAGTATTACCACAATCATCAACGACATCATCTGGTAGTCAAGATGAAAGTAAATATTTCGAAAATTTTTACTTATAATGCTTATTATGATTCTATTAGTTCTACAACATATTCTTACCAGTCCGAATCCACCTAAACAACCACCGATTGTTGCTCAAGTTAGACTACGTGCCGTATGTAATAAATAATAAAAAGAAACATTCAAATAAAATTTATCATTTATAGATGAATCGAAATATTCGCAATCAAACACCACCAATTACTCAAGCCACACAACAACAACAACCACAACCGCAACCAAGTACAATGGCACCGTAAGTCAAAATCTTCTATTTTGTTTTTATCATTAATAACTTTTTCTTTTCAGAGGATCGGATCCAATGATGGCTTCTAGCAGTAATAATGCTATTCAATCACCTCATTCGCATCCTGGCATGATGCAACAACAACAAACACCCATAGGACCACCTGGTCAAAGTCCATTAGCACGTTACATGATGGCTCAATCACCACAAGGTGGTGTCTATCGTCCACCGATGTCTCCAATGAATATGATGAGTAAGAAAGAATCAACATCTTATATATATATATCTATACAAACATTAAACCAATTCTATAGATTATACTGGTAGTCCAGCAATGATCGATGAAGAAATGCATTTTCTCTTTAAATTTTTTACTGAACGTATTCAATATTTAACTCGAATAATTGCTCGATTTCAACAAGAAGGTATAAATGAAAAATAAATGCTATTTTTCTTGTTTTTATGAAATACAATCTAAAAAGAGTATTCAATCACAGAGTTAGAAACTTGGACTCAAAGACCGTGACGGACGCTATTGATATATGATCGAAAACAATATATTAATAACATCTCGTTATAATACATAAAGTACATTCTTATTGGATTTCCAGAGGATTAAGTAAAAATATAGTGAAGAAATGTGTCCTAACATAGATAGAATAAAGTAATCTACTACTCATCAATCGTACCAGCTATATCGTGTTTCATATTTTAAACCCATAGGGAATGTATAAACAACTTTTTTAATTTTTGATTTTTTCTTAGGTCAATCTGATAAAGTAGCTAAATATCGTCAATTACATGATCAAATATCTAATTTCGTTCGAAATCTCATTCCTGAACATTTAATGGCTGCACGCCGTCTTAAAGAACATGTTGATCGTATGCTTGGACCAGTAATGATGCCACCCCTGAATGATATGTCAACAATGGTACTACCAAATACAAATGGTAATCGTTTAATGACAAATGGAATATTTGAACAATGTCAACGTACGATTGCTGATTATTTAAATAAAGATACAGCATTAAAATATAATATTGCAAAACGATTCTTAGAACCTTTAAGTGAAGTTCTTAATGGTGTACCACATAAGTATGTAAAAGTTTAGAAGAATTTCTTTTGTTCTTTATGATACATATAATTCAATGAAAAAGTTGAAAGCAAATTTATAGTAAATAACGATCTGTTTAAGACATATAGGCCAATAATAAATAAACTTAAAATTCATTTTGGCTAGATTTCTATTTTTCATAACTATAAGCATCTTTTCCAAAGAAATTTGACAAAGCGCTTCTAAGATCGAGAATGATTATTTAATTCAAGAAGGAAACAGCTGATGCTGGCCATCGAGATAGGGATAAGAAATTATTGTTAAGAAGTCAGGTAATGAATAAGAAAAAAAATTTGTCACTATGATTATTTCAGCAAGAACATTCTATTTCATGAAAATAAGTAGTTTTAGAAAACTTTTATGAAAAATTCTTCAAGTTGAGGAAGTCTTGTTCGATTTTTATTTCTTCCACCGATCATGATTTAGCATAGTCTTATCTTTGCCAACGTCGAGAAAGCTATGTTACAGTCTTATTTGCTATGATAATGCATTACTAGATGCTGAATGGATAACAAATAAGGTCCGCTGAAATATGATTCGTTGAAACAAGTTTTCTTCTAGTTAATTAGATTTTAGTCAGAGTTTCTTTTACTATTTTAAGAAGAAAATCTGAAGTCTTTCAAACCATATGAAACATGACCCTCATAAACTCTAATCGAACTAGAACAACATTATGTTTTGTCGTTACAATAGTTGAAAAAACTCTTGCCGGAATCTGACTAGTTTAAATAATACGATAAGAACATCGATTCCTTGATGTCAACAATCTTTGATCAAACTTTATAAAGTATCGCTATTTTTTGACATATAGCTTTTCTTCGATAAACTCACAAATTCTTCGTTAATTATTATCATTAGATAGAACTATTTTCTATATCAACCTAAAGTATTTATTATCATGGTTCGTCTTTTAACTAATAAGATAAACTAAAGTTTAAGTACTTTTCTCCGAACTCTGACAAGGTTTCCTCATGAGCTAAATATTTTTTTCTGCAAGCCAAATCTAATAAGTCTTACTAATAAATTTTAATTATATATATATATATCACTTTTAGAAGTATACGATTGGATACAGAATCCAAACAAATGATCGAACCCAATCTCTCTTCCATAAACGATCATTCTTCAGCATCATTAAGAAATATAATCGAAAGTGAATTTGCTCATCTATCGACGAATACATTTTCTTATGAATTAAAACCTATGCATGATAAAATATCACCATCATCATCAATACTTAAAAATAAAGATTCAATTATAAATGATTATGAATTAACATGTCGTCTTATTGAAATAAATATGCCTATAGTACCGCCATTAAAAATGAAATTAACAGTTCAATATCCAAATGAACCACCTGAAATTCTTTCTTTGACATCTACAACAATGAATCTTACGCCAATAAAATTGGAAAATTCAGGTAAGAATATAACAATTCAAAATAAGACAATATTGATTTTTGTCTTTCTTTTCTTATTATAGATGGTAATACGTTTTTTGAATCAATTTCTCGAACTTTTGTTCATTTTTTATTCAAATTACCAACTCAGCATACAGTTACTGATATTTTAGATATATGGGTAAGAATTTTTCTTATTTACTTATTTTTTTTTCAATTGTTAATTCTTTTATTTTATTTTAGCATACTGCCATTCGAAATGCTTCCTTTTCTCAAAATGAATCATGAAAATAAACTAATTTTATACATCTATATGTTTAGTCTGTTTTCTTATTTTTGTTTTTGCTTTGTATATATATATATCTATTATTGAATGTTTACGTTTTTTTTTCTCATTTCAATTTTATTTGTAATGATATTGAGCCAAAATATTTAAAAAATATAATGTAGTAAATGATAAGCTTGTTTATATTTGAAATCAATTATTTGCATGGATGAACTTTTGAAAAAAGTGTTACACCAACAATACGTATACATTGATTTTTATCAGTTAATGTGCCTTTATATACTATACGCCAATTTTCAAAAAATATATCTTTTTCAACAATGATATTGATATTTTTAGCATCAGCTGGAAGTGTTACTGATTTTGTTTGACCACCCCATAATCGACCAGTTTCAGCTATTGCAGGATTACCATTTGCATCGGAATACAGAACACGAAGACGAGTATTCATTGCAGCACGATTTTGAAGCGTTATCTCAAATCCTATATGTTTTAAAGATGATAATTAATAGAATAATGAAAGAAATATCTACCAGAATTTGTTTCATTTGATTTTACTGTTGCACGTAATTCCATATATTGTTCTTCGTCATCTTCATCATCAAAAACTCGACGATCTGTGAGACAAAAAAACAATAGTATGAATTTGATGTATAATTCATAAATATACCTGAATCGATATCATCACTGTTGTCATTATATTCATATTGATCTAGGTAAATATACAAAGCACAGGTTAAAGTTTTGATTACACAAGGATACACTTCGCGTTTATGATGTTTATCTATTCTAACAGTATCAAATATAAATGTGAGAATGAAAAAAAGAATTTTTGCATGAATAATATTTCTTGAAAAAGCAAAGTATATTCAATTTACATTTGAGTTCAATACATATTAACATCAATATCAAAAAGAGTGATTGTTCATCAATCATCTAAAATATCAAACAACTTTGATTTTACTATTATTTTCAGTTATAATATCTGTTTATTGTTTCTATTTTTCGTATCTTTATTATTTCTGTAGTGTTATGGATATAGTGTAGCTTACTATCAGTAGCCCAAGCGAACTATCGTATAAAACTAATAGATGGTAGGTTTTCATACGATCAAAAATTATTTAAGATTCACGTGAGTGGAATGACTTTAGTCAGTTTATGTCTCTGTTTTTTTGCTTTTTTTAAAATTGATATGATTAGTGCGAATATTTGCTCAAAAATAAAACAAAAAAAATTAAACTCTTTCCTATTTGCCTTTCATAGCAGGAATAAATACGATGATTAATCATGAAATAACTTACTATTTCGATCTGTCAAATCCAGTTCTTGTTTATCGTCATCTAATAAATCTAAATAAAATTCTTGTTAATTCAATAATCAAAAATATGAATTAATTACTTTGAAATTGTCGAAATATCGACGATCGTGGCCTAAATCTACTATTAGAACTGGTTACGAACGATACTAACAAAAATAACATAAAGCAAGTCTTCATGTTAATTATTTTCTGCTTGTCCGTCATTATCAATACTGTATTCTGTGCCATAATACTATTTAGCTATTTGCTCTTTTCTATGCACCACTAAATCACTTATATTTATGTGTTAAATAGTCGCTGGCAGACATGTATATATTTTTTTTTATCCCAATATTTTTTTCTCGTTCTTTCATTAGTCAAATAATAAAAAATCCGAGAATGAAAGAAGAAAAAACTTCCATTCTGCGTTGTTCGTCTGTATATACAGTTCTGTTTTATGCCATAAATACAGAATAATTTGAGAGAATGTATAGGCTTCACTGTGTATGCGTTGCGTAGGCATCTATTTGTCAAAAGAAGACGAAGAAAAAAAAGTCGACATGATTGCCGCATGCACGTACGATACATAATATTATTCGACATATGAATCACTTAATACGATATGATGATTTATGTGTTGAGCAATGATGTAAAAATTTTTCTACAAGGTATTAGTCCATTGAATGTATCTTATTTGAAAATCAGTACTATATACAATTGAATCAAGAAGACGATAAAACTGGTATTAAGTAAACGAAAAAAATGCATACAACTAAACGTGTAAGCCAATGCATTGGTTGGTGACAATAGAAGTTTTTCGATGACTTTTAAAAATTTTTCCTAGTTTTGAGAACTATTAAAAGGAAAAAAAAAAGAAAACAATGATAGAGAATTTGTTGGCAAGAAATTAATTTGAAAGGCAGGAAATATTTTAAAATTAAATATCTACTTTTGTACCACGACGATGGCGGCTAGAAGCTTCAGCAACTATTTTGGACTATGACAACGATGCGACTGAATCACTTGAATGTTGACGGTGATAACTCAGTCGATTTATAGACGTATTTTCTTGTTTTTCTGTCAATTCCATGTATAACAATAGAAAACATGACATTATTTTGCAACGATACCTGCAGAGAAAAGTTTAAAATTATGTGGGTGTTTGAAGAATCTTTATTTTCTTTTGTAGTAAAGGTTGTGTCTATTTCTCTGTTAATGACTTATCTGTTATCTTTTGTTCTTTTGCAAATATAAATGCCTAAAGGTTTCATTTGTACTGATTACGCTGATATGAAACACACTACTGTAATTATGTTCTTGATGGTCTTTACGATCATGTTTGGGATTGGTCAAAGTTCTAACGATTGTTTTTATGATCCATACAATGCAGGTTAGTTCATTTAATTATAGGGAAAAAAAAACTAACTATTTGTTTTACATACCAATAGGAAAAAAATGCTATAATTCAGATCATACCGGGTATATATGTTGCCTAGGTAAGTAATAGAATCGTTTCAAAATTTCTATCGAATTTTTGTTTCTTTTGTTTTAGCTGATGATCGTTGTCAAAATGGACAATGTTATTCGCTTGGTGATACTTCGTCGAAATCACTTCCACTTGAAACTTCGATTCTCATTGGTATTGGAGTTTCTGCTTTTTGTATTGTTTGTTTGACTGTTGGAGCTTTATATTGGCATCGTAGACAAATAAATCGTGCAGAAAACCGATCAAATCTGTTAACATCTTTTTCTCTACCTACATTTGTTCAACCTACTAAAGGTACTTCAGCTGGTGTTCGAATACATTCATCTACATCACAACCACCATTAGTTGAGACAAGTGTTAATTTAAAACTAGCTACGACTGTTAACCCTTAAAAAGGAAAATATTTCATTTATAATGATAAGCAAAAATTTTGTTTTGAACATGAACAATAATCTTTTTCTTTTTTTTTGTCAGTTAGATTTTCATATATTACATAAATGAATCACTTTTTATTTTTTTGTGACCTTTAGATATTATGTAAAATTTATCAGTACTTTTTATCTTGTGTTGTCAGAACACGGGAATATGAAAAAAATATTATCATTACTTATTATATTATACATAAAAGCAGACACATTGATATTAGACAACATTCAACTAATTTGAAACATTAAAATAACTTTCTTTTTTGAATACAATATGATTAACAATTAATTGCAGCACTACAGTAATGCAGAATGAACAATATAAGACAAACAAAAATAAAGGAATGATGATGAATATAAAGTATGGAGAGCTGTAGATTCTCGTTTTTGTGAATTTAACCGGATTCGATCTAGAGGCAAAATTTTTCTCATGAATATCTCGCACGTTCTATGTACATAAACAAATGAAGAATCACTGTTGTAGTTATTCACTGACTATTCCCAGGAAAACAGTAAACATACAGCTATTTCTTTCTGGTCACTTTTTAATCATTCGATGCTGAATAAATTAAAAGTTTTCGCTTAGTTGTAAAAAGAGCATTATGTTAACAAAAAAGGAAAATGAATAGTTAATTGATAAAAAAAAATTCGTCATTGACCACCTTCATAGCAATAGTAACGATGAAATCGTCACCTAGACGAAATAATTTTTATTGTATCTTTGTAAACGAGGTGAAGCAAGAATGCATCATAAACACTATGAAACCAATAGATTAAACCCAACGATGAGGATGTAGATGTAGAGTGTGGAAGAAATGACGAGCCTGAGTCAATTCGTACAGTCGCATCGAAACAGGGACGTACAGACACATCCAGACTCACAAGTTCACTCAACATCTGCACATTCAAACCCATGGCTACAAAGAACAGCAAAAAGTTTGAATTTTTCTTTCTCGCTTACGTTTTGTCTTGTGGGTTTTCTTGCCGTATTTACTCTGTGTCAAGTATACAGATTCTGTAGAAGTGGTGAAAAAAAACCACATAAAAAAAAGGTGACAAAACATAGCAGCTTTTGTTTTCGATTTTGTTTTTTGTGATGAAGGTAAACATCGATCACAAAATGTCTGTATTCTTCTTTTCTGCTTACATTCTCTTCTGAGTTCTATCCCAGTATTTGTTCTCTACTTCGATTATAAAGCTTCTGTTAAAGGCGTAGGAACAAATCACATAAAAATGGGTGAGAAAACACACAATTGATTGTGGTAGTTGAGTTTTTACAGTTTTTAAAAAAATACTTGGTATTTCGATTGAGTATGCTTTTCTAGGCTACGGAGTTGTAATGGGAACATTTCTTTATGATTAAACATGCAGCGAAATTATATATGAGCTATAGCTGAGCTTTTGAAGAGATCTGACAAAAAACGACAACAAAATTAGATTGAATTCCAAGCAGAAAGTTTGTATTATTCAAAGGGTTTCTATAAAGAGGATGGATGTGTTCTTGTGACCCACATCCCACCCACAATTTTCGCAGTAAAAGTACATGTACTTGTATTGCAAAAAACATACTGATACTTAAGATTTTCACGTACTACTTCTATCCATCTTCAAGCTCCACTCCCAGTTTATTTTTCCAGCTAGTCAAGTTCTCGATTTCTGTGTTCCTAGTTTAATGACTGCTTTTCAGTTTTACCATCGACGTTCCCATAGCATACACAGTTGAAAACTAGTATTCCTAGCATAATTAGTTATTCAAAATTAGGTATGCATCAGCCTCATTCGTGACTGATTAATCTGAGTACCCAGTCGAACTATGTAAAAAGCCCTACTGAACATCTAATAAATTCACTCGTAGACTGGGCACTCCTACCTGACTAAATACCAGTCCGATCAGTACTCAGTCCAACTGTACTGGTGCATGCCTATTCAAAATTTGTCATTAAACTAACTTTATCAAGACTGACGTGATCGAAGGATGTGGGGACGGCCATGTTATCCAATGTTCTATTTTGCCAAAGAGAGTTAGGCGAACAGTTTTCTTTCTGTTAGTTTCTGTGGCGATCACAATGACATATCCAGCCCTAATCTTGCGAAGCCGTATTCAACGCCCCTACAGTTACCGCTTGGCGCTAGACCTCAGTATAATTGCATAAAATAGAATAGTAATGAAAACTGTTCGCGCACATTGATGTGGAAATTCATATGTTGATAACGTGTATAATTTTGCCGCGTTTCAGGTTCCTACGTGCAATGAGATGCAAAATATCCAAGGTTGAATTTCAACACTAAGTTTTCTTCCTGAAAAATAAGAAAAGAAAGGAGACTCCCAGTGAGAAACTGCGTTTTAAAGATTTCGTTGATTTAAAAGAATCTTCCTTTACAGTAGATAATATAATGAGGTATGATTGAAATTTCTAAGTGACTACAGATAAAAATTGTAAATGAGAAACTAGACATGTAAGAACCAAAACCACCATGTGACATGAGGAAGTTTAGTGCGAAAGAAAAAGCTTGTTGCATCCAAATAAATCGAACGTTTGCTTTTGACAATGAGGCTTCCTGATTCAAGTGAGAAATTGAAGATAAAATATAACTCATATTTGTTGAAACTAATAGCCTGATTTCGTCTTTGGAATTCATGAATGCTAACTTCTCAACCTGAATCATCAGCTATATACCTACAATTGTTAGAAAACTCTTAGACACATTTGCACTATACACATGCAACTTTTGCTAGTATTATTAGTTGAATTGAAGAGTGTGTTCATCGACAGATTGGCCATGAATTCCCTTCCTATCGAAAGCAAGAAGACGAATATTAGCAATAATCACAGCTTATAACCATTCTCGTTTTATTTCTAGACTAGAACTCATTTCAAGTGCTTCCCACTCGACCGAAAAGGTGGCATCAAGTAATGCAGGTAAAAAACTACTGATTAAGCATCATAAAAATATACAAAGAGGACCCAATTACTATTGTCGGATTTTTTTAAAAATAGTTTCCATCAGTTTTTGAATAACTCTCCGTCGCTCATACCTATCGAGCTTGGATTTTCATCATTAGAAAGAGCAGGTGAGGGAGACATCTATCTATATAAAATTCATAATGTTCGAACAAGTTTTTCATGACTGTTTTTGAACGAACATTTTTTTTCGTTGTCCATCTTCATGAGTTTTCACAGCAATCTACGCTCAAATTATACTAAATCCTAGCCAAAAACGATCTGTATTCCTGGTAAAATTTATAAATCTCTCTAGTTTATTTGAACCAATACTTCAAAGCTATAGTATTAAAATATGAAAATTTTACCAGGAATACAGATCGTTTTGGGCTAGAACTTGGTATAATTTGAGCGTAAATTGCTGTGAAAACTCATGAAAATGGACAACGAAAAAGATGTTGGTTCAAAAACAGTCATGAAAAACTTGTTCGAACCTTATGAATTTTATATAGATAGATGTCTCTCTCACTTGTTCTTTCTAATGATGAAAACTCAAGCTCGATAGCTATGAGGGATCGAGAGTTATTCAAAAACTGGTGGAGGCTATTTTTAAAAAAATTCGACAATAGTCTGATATGTGGAGTCACATCAATAGGATGTCTTATTCAATCACGATTTTGTTGTTTCTTTGTCCTATTTCACTTCATCTGACTGTTCTTTATCATTATGAGAATTCTGTCGAGTGAAAAAAAGCAGATGAATAGCCATCTTAACACTGAGGTAGGGATGTACCCGAGGAAGTGTCTATGAGAGAGCTGAGCTGCCTGATATGGAAAACTATTTGACATTGGATGGATGGTGACATCGGTTAATGTATATGATTGTGTTGGGCTTTGATAAATATGATGTTGGTGAATTTTATAATAGTAGAATATGTAGTAAAAAAAAAGAATATTCATGATTGACGTTAATAACTGAGTCGAATTTTATCTAATGGGTGTCCCAGAAAAAAAAATGGATCTCAGTATTTTTAAGACTTCTTCTCTATTATCGCTGTAGTTAAGGCTCTTTTTATTATCAAAAGATAGGACTTGAAAGTCTTTACAAAGCCTTATATGACTAGGCCCGAAAATAGTTTTTGATACATTTGAAAAAAGACGAAAACTAAAGATATACAAAAAATTGTAAAAAGTAACGGGTATTCCATAATAAATGATGGTACTTTGCATTTCATATTTTTATCTCTAAATACGTTTATTTCAAAAAAACAAAGGATACCACAAGATGCAGCGTGAAAAGCTCTACACTCTTACAAACTAAAGCTCATTTCAATTGTATACTTTTTGTTTTCCACAAAAAAGACAAACTTTGTTAGACCAGTTTTCGCCGTTGCCAAAATCGATCGCGCAGAATTTGGAGTTTTTTTGAACTTAAAAGGTACACAAATAAAAGAAAGTGTTCTTCGTAAACTGTATAGTTTCTCACGCTGCATCTAGTGGTATATTTCTTTTTGAAAGGGAATACAGTAGGTGACAACAAGAAAAAATAAGAAAAAGGAATTCTCACATGTAAAAAAAATCATTTTTTGACAGTGGTGAAAACTGGTCTAACAGAGTTTTGCTTTATTTTTGAAAACAAAAAGTATACAATTGAAATGAGCTTTAGTTTGTAAAAGTGTAGAACTTTTCACGCTGCATCTTGTGGTATACTTTGTTTTTTCAAATAAAACGTATTTACAGATTAAAATATGAAATGCAAAGTCCCATCATTTATTATTGAGCACTCGTTATATTATTTTTGAAGCTACTTGCATGTTTTTCGTTTTCGTCTTTTTTTCAGATATATCAAAAATTATTTTCGAGTCTAGTCATATAAGGTTTTGTAGAGAATTTCAAGTGCTAACTTTTGATAATACAAAGAGCCTTAACTACAGGGATAATAAAGGAAAAATTTTAAAAAGTTTGAGAGACCCATTTTTCTGGGACACCCGTTATTTTAATTGATTTAACAGATTGTGTTCTATCG